AAATCGATTTCAACCCTTAGGGAATGGGTGCCCTCGATGAAAAGTATCTCGAAAAATTATTCATATATCAAGACAATTTTTGAGCTAGATCAAATCTACTGAGCGAACTTCTAAAAATGGGTAGCAGCAAAAAACCAGATAATAAAAATTCGATTCCAACTCTTAGGGAATGGGTGTCCTCGATGAAAAGTATCTCGAAAAATTATTCATATATCAAGACAATTTTTGAGCTAGATTAAATTTACTGAGCGAACATCTAAAGGGGTAGCAGCCAAAAACCAGATAATAAAAAATAGATTTCAACACTTAGGGAATGGGTGTACTGGATGAAAAGTATCTCGAAAAATTATTCATATATTAAGACAATTTATGAACCAAATCAAATTTACTGAGCGAACTTCTAAATGGGTAGCAGCCGAAAAGCAGATGATAAAAAATCGATTACATTCCAAAGGGAATGGGTGTCCTCGATGAAAAGTATCTCGAAAAATTATTCATATTTCAAGACAGTTTTAGAGCTAGATAAAATTTACTGAGCGAACTTCTAAAGGGGTATCAGCCAAAAACCAGATAACAAAAAATCGATCTCAACCCTTAGGGAATGGGTGTCCTCGATGAAAAGTATCAAGAAAAATTATTCATATATCAAGACAATTTTAGACCTAGATCAAATTTACTGAGCGAACTTCTAAAGGGGTAGCAGCCAAAAACCAGATAATAAAAAATCGATTTCAACCCTTAGGGAATGGGTGTCCTCGATGAAAAGTATCAAGAAAAATTATTCATGTATCAAGACAATTTTTGAGCTAGATCAAATTTACTGAGCGAACTTCTAAAGGGGTAGCAGCCAAGAACCAGATAATTAAAAGTCGATTTCAACCCTTAGGGAATGGGTCTCCTTGATGAAAAGTATCTCGAAAAATTATTCATATATCAAGACAAATCTCAATCCAGATCAAATTTGCTGAGAGAACTTCTAAAGGGGTAGCAGCCAAATACCGGATAATAAAAAAATCGATTTCAACCCTTTGGGAATGGGTGCCCTCGATGACAAGTATCCTGAAAAATTATTTATATATTAAGATAATTTATGGGACAGATTAATTTTACTGAGTGATCTTCTAAAGGGGTAGCAGCCAAAAACCAGATAATAAAAAATCGGCTTCAACACTTAGGGAATGGGTGTACTCGATGAAAAGTATCTCGAAAAATTATTCATATATTAAGACAATTTATGGGCCAGATAAAATTTACTGAGCGAACTTCTAAAGGGGTAGCAGCCAAGGACCAGACAATACAAAAATCAATTTCAACCCTTAGGAACTGAGTGTCCTCGATGAAAAGTATGTCGAAAAATTATTCATATATTAAGATAATTTATGGGCGAGATCAAATTTACTGAGCGAACTTCTAAAGGGGTAGCAGCCAAACACCAGATAATAAAAAACCTATTTCAACCCTTAGGGAATGGGTGTCCTCGATGAAAACTATCTCGAAAAACTATTCATACTTCAAGACAATTTTAGAGCTAGATCAAATTTACTGAGCGAACTTCTAAAGGGGTAGCAGCCAAAAACCAGATAATAAGAAATCGATATCAACCCTTAGGGAATGGGTGTCCTCGATGAGAAGTACCTCGAAAAATTATTCATATATCAAGACAATTTTAGAGCTAGCTCTAACTTACTGCGTGAACTTCAAAAGGGGTAGCAGCCAAAAACCAGATGGTAAAACATCGATTTCAACCCTTAAGGAATGGGTGTCCTCGATGAAAAGTATCTCTAAAATTATTCATATATCAAGACAATTGTAGAGCTAGAGCAAGTTTACTGAGCGAACTTCTGAAGGGGTAGCAGCCAAAAACCAGATAATAAAAAATCGATTTCAACCCTTAGGGAATGGGTGTCCTCGATGAAAAGTATCTCGAAAAATTATTCATGCATGCGGCTGCCGGCAGTAGCTACTTTTCGTATTCCCAATACCATGGTTTGAGTATTCAGAAACTAATGGAAGATTAGAGTTCCTCGTTCTCCGTTACAGACTGGAACACGTTTAGCATCTGGTCTTGATAAAGATTGTTCGGATCCCCCAAGTCCTTCCTCTTGAGGAGCAACCTCCACCTTATTCTGGAGGTGATCCCGCTACTCCGTCGTGTTTGATGACCTTTGAGTCAATCTCTCTTTGTTAAAAATAGTTGAACTCCATAACTCAACTCGAGGAGTTTATGCATCCTTAGACATTGCAACTTCCGGACGAGTACAATAGCATGCCTTTTTCTCTACCAATTTTCATTACCCTTCTGGACGTATACCTTTCCATTGAGGTTCCAATCCCATGTGCAGATATAGAAATCCAATCCACCAACTCTACCAAACCAGCATTTAGTCCATCACATGTTACTACACGCGATTCGATACAAAGGTCATCCACTGAGAGCAATACTCAGGCCTGATGTTGAGACGTTCAAAATAAGCAGCAAGCATATCAACAGCTTCATCCTTCATAAAACGCATTTGGTAAGCACAAAAATTGCTCAAAGTAACGCGAAACTATTGACAATTTGAGGACTACTTTTTTTTGGTTAGGTATTTGTTTGGCTGAAATTCATGGCCGGCTTTTTTTAATTGTCTTTTTAGAATTACTTGCTTATCTTTTAGCAATATTTTGTGATATTTTCAAAAAGGGTGATTTTATTATGATTAATAAAAAGGAATTAAAGAAAAATTAGTTAAAAAAGTAAAAGTTCAAGGGACTTCCGTAGAAAATGGTATTTGGCCTATATTCATAGCAATACATTTAATTTTTTTGAGAAAATTAGCCATTTCTGACGGAATGTCAAAAAAGCCCCCTAGCGGCCACATCTGCAACAAAAAAGGTTCAAATATCATAACATTTGCATCCCAAGGATGGCTCTTTTCACGAGCCCAAGTTTGTTCAGCTACGCCGTTTTGAAGATACGGAAACATTTGAATACCCCCACGACTTTATTTTTTGAGATACAAAAAACAAAAAAGTTCACATTTTCCTCGACTTTGAAGATCAGGTATTTTTTGATAGGTTAGTATAAAGAAATTCACGGAAACATCGCTTTTTTAGATTCAAGATTGCAGCTACGCCCCTTAGCGGCCATTTCAGAATCTTGAAAATATTTTCAGGTTTTTCTTTTGGCCGTTTTAGTAAAAACTTTTTTTGCCGCAATCATCAACAATGTATAGATTCTCAGATACAGTGCCTCGCATTCTTAGTTGGTCACCCTATACAGACAAGAGTCAGGCCTTGCCAACAAAATAACGGAAAAGGTTTGGAACATCTTCTATGATTTAACTCTGCTTATTTGCGGCTTTTATCGTTACTGCTATCAAAAATATTTTTTTCTTGTTCAGGTTTCGCCATACTTTTTTATTTCCTTATAATTTTCGCTCCAACAACAAATTCCTGGCGACCAACTAAGGAAATACATGTCTAAATTTAGGGCTGAAAAAATCGAAGTAGGTAATGGAAGTCGAACGAAAAGGCCTGGTAAAGTGACAATGACAATATGTAACTTTCATTAACAGATAATTTCAAGGCGTAACTAAGAAATTCCGTTTTATTAACTAAGATTTGGCAATGTCAATGTATGAGGTACTATACGTTTCTCCTAGATAATAAAGTTGATGCTGGAGGACAAGATCATTGAAATTCTAATTACGCGATCTTCTAAAAGAGAAAAGGTGGCAATGTTATTGTGCAATTTATTTTGAATTGCCACTAAAAATATATTCTGAAAAAAATTAGGAATAACTTTGAATTTCGAAGCTTTCTAAGCAGCGTTTTGTTAGCTACCTAAAGACCCAACTTTGCCCCATTTAAGCAACTTCGTATCTCTAACTGTTTCCGAAGTCCAACTGCTGAGGGTTGAATTTGGTACACCCGGTACATTACACAGTGACTTTTTATGATACATCACATTGCATGTTAAAATTTTGACTCCATGTTACCTTTAGTTTCAGAGCAAACTGAGAGCCAAAATTTTCTATATGCAGATTCTGAAGTTGCAGCCCTTTTAATTCTTGTGATCAGTTTACGGCACAGTTTCATCATTTTGAGTCTATGATCATGTTATAAATATTATCAAAAGCTCTTACAATTTCAGAGTTTTGAAAGGTAGTCAAGACTTTTTTAAATTTCGTTTATTTGTTTAGGAGTGAAAAGGTATATTTAAAGACGAGCATAATGTGCAAGTTTCAGTTTATTGCTTGTAACTTATATAAATAATAATAACTGTGTAAATATTACACGAATTAGAAAACACACATGAAGGTGTAAGTACAAAATGTTTACAGAGACATTAAAGTGCAATGAATTTACAAACTAGTTAGACTGTTCCATAAAATAATTTGGCTGTTACGTTGTTGTTGACAAGGAAGGAGTGTCCAGGTAAAGCTGATACGATGGCTTATTCTGCACAGGTTGTCCGAGGTGCACAGGATAGTAGTTGAATGTATTCTGTGGCATGTGTTGATGATAGTTCGTATCTACTTGGACACGTAGATACGAACTATACTGGTTACACAAAACGTTATCTTTACTCTGGTTTCTCGGTAGCGTTTTATGGCTATCCGGCCCCCTTTTTATCAAATGGTGTTTAGGCCTCACCGTTTGGATTCCCGATTTGCTAGTTGGACTAGGGGTGGACGAAGGGAATGTCCAAATAGGAGATGACGCTCTTTGTTCCTCTTCCTTTTTTTTGAACGTCATCCTCTGGTTTTGAAACAGGACTTTGACTTGCCGTTCTGTCAGGTTTAATTCTTGTGCCATGTCGGTGCACCGGCGTCGGCACAAATACTTGTCAGTGCAGAATTGCTTCTCCAGTTGTACAAGCTAGTGTGCGGTATAAGTTGTTCTGGCTCGCTTCGGCTTGAGGGTTCCGCTTGAATTAGGCCATACACTGTTCAGACCTGGTGTTGTACTATTTTCTTTTAAGAAAAATACCACTATCATTTCGATACGGAGGGTATATTACTAGTAAAAATGCTATGTATTTAACTTATTTTGCTTCTCTTCGTGTCAGTGGTGACAGGGTTTGAATACACACACTTGTATTCCATATGGCAGTTGTTGGAATAAGGGTTTTCTCCAACTTGGAAAACTGTAGTTTTCACCCACATATTCAACAACACTATATGTTGGCGACGACTCGGTTGAAACAGCATGAGGTGAAATAGGCTCGGTCGGCAACATGTCGGCGTAAGTTCGTGCACTGTAAAGGTTCTCCCTGTAATCGGCCATTTGGTCAGTCGAAGACATGCTGAACCTTACTAATGACGGGTATTTATTGAAAAGTTAGACCACTCCTTCCTCGTTAACAGTACCTAGACTGGCCAATTGAATGGTTCGTCTGCCCACACTTCCTTATTTATGACACCGGTAGGCTAGCGCACTATGAGTACCGTACGACAGTGTTATTTAAAAATGATTAGTTGTCGCATGGTAGTATATAAGGCTAAATTTCTCAATTATGTGCAAAAATTAGCAAAAACTAACAAACTAGCACTAGACACTAGGAGTGAACAACAACCGAGGAAGTAGTGAGACCGCACACGACACAGGCGACACGCGACAACAAAGCGACCACGCAACACGCGCGTGTGAGACGCGACCGACGCGCGGAGACGCGGAAACGGACGCTACAAACGAACACAGTGAAGTGCAGTGAACCCAAAAAGGGCACCAGTGCAAAGAAATACACAATTTCCAGTGTGCGGTCACAACTGGAAATTGTGTAAAAGTCGACCTTTGAAAAATCGATGGTAGTGATTGAGCGCGACACGTTCGAAACCGTGACGAAGATGTTGGATGAGGAAGATATTTATTCCTCATCTAGCGAAGACGAGGAGGATGCTCAACATGCGGGTTACCTAAACAAAATGAAGAACAACGAATTAAAGAAGCAGATAGCTGAGCTATCTTGTCAACTGGCGGAACTAACGCGCCAGTTAATAGAAGAAAGAAGAATAAGCGCCGAAGAGCGCGAAATGACTGCTAAGCTCATCGAGCAAATGGCAGCGAGACAGGGGACCGAGGTTTTTGACCCCAAAAAGAAGAGAAAGACTGATGAAAATCAGAAGAAAGAAAAAGAGGAGGTTATCCAGCACCTCCTCAGAAGGAGGAAAGAAGAGAGATGCCCCCAAGAAGAAGGCACCCCGTTATGATCAGCCTACTACACCTGCAACCAAAACACTTGCAGAACAGGACGCGATGGACCAGTATCCCACCCCAACCCCAACCCTCCGCAGACGGAGGCAAGCAAGAAGAAGGAGAAGAGGCCACCGCCGCTGTATATCCATTGGGAAGAGCAGTGGAAGGAAGTAATGAGATCACCATTGAGAAACCTGCACGGCTAACCGGAGCAGGTATCAAAGTCCAACCGAAAGACAGTGATGACTATAGGAGGATCAGAAAGACTCTAGAAGATGCCAAGATCGAGCATCATACCTACTCCACAAGCCACTGGGAGTGGTAATAAGGCAGATGCCGATCATTACCACCTACCAAGAGATCGTAGAAGACTTGGCAAGGCAAGGATACCATCCAAAGAGGGTGAGTAGAATGACCAGTAGGAGGACTGGCAAAGCGATACCACTAATTAAAGTAGATCTCCCAAAAGAAGAATCGGGAATCTACAAGATAAGTGCTGTTTGCCACATGGTGATTCAGGTGGAGGCCCTGAAAAGAAGAACTGGACCCGGTCAGTGCTACCGCCAGCAATTTGGCAATAGCCAACTGTACTGCACGGGAGAGCCGTGCTGCGTTAGGTGCGCAGGTAAACATAGAGCGGCGGACTGTAATGTCCCAAACGAAAAGCCCGCGAAGTGTACTAACTGAGGGAGAGAGCATCCCGCAAACTTTGGGGGATGCCCAAAGAGGCAGAGTGTAGGGCCAAGAGACAAGAAGACGACAACAAGGGGAACAGCGCAAGCAGCGCCAGCACCAAAAACCATAACTAGGCCTAGTCCAGTACAGGAGGACCGAAAGGAGCCCAAGCCGCTGAGGCCAGCAGTGCCAATAACAGCGATGCAGATGAGCTGACTGATTTCGCCACCAAATATTTATTTTTGCGAAAACACAAACACTTAATGCTACCATTCAAGGTGAACTTTTATACAAGTCAAATTTAGGAGTTCCTCGCAGTGTAACGAAAAGAAATCATAAAATTTCAGACATGAGACCCAAGAAGATGAAGACTGAAAACTCTTTGAAGGGAGACAGGTCTTCAGTTGACATTTTATTGAAGAACCATTACGGAAATGAATGGCGAAATTTACCTGAGTTAGAATTCTATAAAATTATTGACAAAAATGCCACAGAAGCCCAGAACAGAACAGACCCCGACGAGGAATACGAGAGTGAAGAAGAAGAATCAGTCGTAAAAATTTAATAAAAATGTTTTTTATTTATATTAAGTAAGGATGCATTTTTCGTTTTGAACTTTTATAATGTTTAAGCGAATAAATCATTTGAAAGTACTTGCAGTTTTACCTATGTATCACAAGAAATAAGTTAAAACTATCATTTCACCTAAAATGCAAAACTCGGTAAATGATTGCCTTAAGTGCAAAACTCTGCACTTGCATCTTTTATTTGCCGTTTTTCAGTCCGTTAGGCCATCATTATTACTACTTACAGTCTTGAGCATTGATCACAAAAAAAAATACCTGCTCCTGGTATATACGCGAAGTGTGAGAAACATCGTACCCAATCTTCTGGAGAAGTAACCATACAAGGGATAAGACCAGTAAATACTTACAGAAACTTTAGCAGCTCTTCCGAGGACGAACCAAGCATTTTCGGTCATTTTTCTTTAACATATCCCGAAATTGTGTCAGAATAGTCACATTTTTGTAAAGATATATAACTTTCAACCTGGCCTATACATAGGGATGAAGAAGAGCAACAAGTAGATAAAGATGAAAGTTATTTATTCAAGAATAATGCAAATACTACTATAGAGTAAGAAGTACAGTACCTGAAGCAGCTATTAGAAACAAAGAATGAAATAATTTTAGAGAAAGAGAGGTATATCAATCAATTAGTTAATGAGAACAGACGTTTACAGGAGCATTATGAATTGATCATTAACAGTATTGTGGATGAAGAAACCATAATCACTTCTTTGGGGAAAATAAATGAAAGAGTTCAAAAAAAGCAGAGATGAGAAGATTGTAGATAAAATTAATAATACACAAAAGTTGATGGTAAAAAGTACGGAGAAATCAAACTCTAATATGTTAGAAGATTTGAAGAAGAGCATTGATCCAGCTAAGTCAAATATCTGTGTGACTCTGTGAGGAGGGTGAATAATGGCACAATTCTTAGCTGCGAAAATGAAGCATCATTGTCCAAGCTGATCGCGAGTATACAGAGAGAACTCGGTGCGAACTTCACTGTCAATGAGATCAAGAAATATCGCCCACGCATGGTGATAAATAATGTAGAATGCGCCTACAAAAAATCTGAGGGATTAATCAAGAAGATCTTGTCCCAGAATGAATTTGGTATTTTTAGTAGTGATGATATAAAAACTCTAACCACTTTCAGATGTTCCGAATCTACTTTAAATGTTGTCATTGAGGTTAGCCCAAAATTTAGAAAAACGTTGCTAGATAGAGGTCATACATACATGGGTTGGCAAAGATGTCCCGTGCGGGACTATGTACGAATTATACGCTGCTATAAATGTTCAGGTTTTGGCCACATGGAAAAAAATTGCATACATTCTGAAGTATCATGTCCTTTATGTTCTGGAGATCATTTGGAAAAAAATTGTAAATCTGCTTTTAAGAATTGTTCAAACTGTATGAATCGCAATTCTAAATTCAACACTCAATTTGATACTAGTCATTCTTCTAAAGACTTAGATTGTCCAACTTATAAAAAACATGTTACATACTTGAAATCTAGAATTGAATATGAATAGTGATAAATTCAAGGTTTTAAAATTTGGTCATATAAACTGCAGATCAGTTTTATCAGGATTTCATGAATTTAGTACACTGGTTCAAAAGAACAACCTTGATATTGTTGGAATATCGGAAACGTGGCTATCAAAAGATATATCTAATGACCATATAAGAATGAATGGATACAACTGCTATCGCTGTGATAGAGATGGGCGAGGTGGTGGGGTTGCAACCTTTGTAAACAACCACTACAACTCTTCCATAATTTCATTTGGGCAAGGCCCAAGTCGTGAATATATATGGTTGAAGGTGCAGCTTAGAAAACAAAAAATTGCTATTGGTATATTCTATCGGCCCCCACATAGCTCTGTTACAGAAGCCGGTAATACCTTTGATAACATGTTGCCTGCCATATTAGCTGAATGTGATGATATCATCCTTGCAGGGGATATCAATGTTAATTTGCTTTTAGTTTGTAACAAGTTGACTAAATTCCTTGATTCTTATAATCCGACTAGGATAACTGAATCAACACTCACTCTCTTAGATCCTATTTATTTGAGCAAGCCTGAAAGTTGTCTTAGGAGTGGCACTATTAATGCTGATATGATTACTGATCACTATTTGACCTTCTGTGATATACGTATTGCACTTCCTAAAAATCAACAGAAATTTGTGACATTCAGGGATTTCCATAGTTTAAATGAAATAGCGTTTGAACAAGATCTCAAGAGGTTTCCATGGTGGCATATTATATCGATAGATGACATTGAAGATAAAATTAACTTTTCAACAGATAGTATTTTATGTTTATTTAATGTTCACTGTCCAAAAAAGGTAGTGCGTGTAAACAAAGCTCCAGCTCGTTGGTTGGATGATAATATTAAACTTGTATTCAAGCAGAGAGCTGAAGCTTTGTCAACGTTCAAACGTGATCGTACAGCCGCCTCTTGGCAACAGTATACATATTTCAGAAATCGTGTATTAACGCTCCTGCGAAGAGGAAAAAGAGATTATTTACAAGCTGTTCAAAATCAGGATATAAAAAAGTTTTATAAGACCCTAAAGACTTTCAAAGTACAATCTCAGAAAGATTCTACAATTCCCGTGAGCTTGTCAGATCCGTATAAAATAAATGAGGCATTCATTTCAATTTTCGAGAATAGTGATTTGGCTTGTGTTGATAAAATTGCATATTACCGAGCTAATAAAAATAACTCAAAATTCAAATTTCAATTTAATAAAGTGACTATTGACACCGTTGTTAAAATTATACATAAAATAAAATCAAATTCTAGTGGTACAGATGGAATAACTTTGCATATGATACTACTATGTATACCTGAAATTGATGTGTACATAACGCATATTATAAACTGCTGTTTAGAGAGGGGATATTTCCCCAATCAGTGGAAACGCGCTATAGTTATTCCGCTACCTAAATGTTCTGATCACTAACTATGGTCAACTGAGACCGATCAGTCTACTGCCAATTTTTTCTAAAGTATATTGGAACGCATTGTTTACGAACAGCTCTGCGCCTACTTATATTCTATCAAAATTATTCCATCTAAACAATCTGGATTTCGACAAGGTCATAATACAGCTTCGGCACTCTGTGATTTAACAGACAATACGGTACTTGATAACCAAAAAGCAGTAGCTCTCATACTTCTTGACTTTACTAAAGCATTTGACACCATTAATCACTCACTTCTTGTATCTAAATGCAGTTATTATGGATTTTCTGAAAAACCTCTTTCGTTTATTTAAACCTACCTTGAAAATCGGCATCAAAAAGTTTGTCTAAATCAACAGTACTCTATGGAACAAAAAATTTGTTCTGGTGTACCACAGGGATCAGTCTTAGGACCGCTATTATTTTCATTATATATCTCAGATTTAGATGCAGAGGTAAAATCATGCAGCATACAATCTTTTGCAGACGATACTCAAATTTTCTATTCATTTGGGAGTAATGACTTGGAAACGGCAAATAATAAAATTAATCAAGATCTTGCCCCAATTGAAAAGTTCAGTAGTAGTCATAATCTTCGTTTGAACCCTTTGAAGACAAATATGTTGGTATACGCAAATAGAACAAAAAAGAATACCCTAAAAAAGGAAATAGACATACATCTAAAAGGTAATAAATTAATTCCTGTGGATCATTCGAAAAACCTAGGTATTATAATGGATGATGACTTAAAATTTGTTGCACTCGTGAACTATCTAATTACTCAGTGCTACGCTATTCTCAGAGTTTTATTTGCAAATAAGGCTATATTACATAAATCTGCAAGAAAGCAATTGTGTGAATATTTCGTGTTTTCAAAGATATCGTATTGCTTAGTGGTTTACTATCCCTATTTAGATATTATAACAAGAAATCGTATTCAACGTATTGTGAATACGATTTGCAGACTTGTAAATGATCTCAGAAAATATGATCATATATCGAATGCCATTAATGAACTCAAATGGATGAAAATTGATAAATTGTATAAGTACCAGCTCCTAAATCTGACTCATAAGGTTCTTTATTCAAAAACACCGTCATATTTAGTAAACAAATTCATACGTAGAGGGATTATGCATCGTATTATTATTAGATATAGAGAGACTTTTTCAATTCCACGCCACAGCACGTCTCTATTTCAGAATACATATATTTCCAATGCGATCAAATCATATAATTCTTTAGACCGCAGTTTAAAAGAAACCATTATCCAAATTCAAGAAAAAAGTGAAAGAAGTTCTTCTTGATCAGCAGCGAAATCGGTCGTAACCCATATTTTCCTTATGTATTTACTTGGATTACACTTTATTCTGTAGTTATTGTATACAGGTGCCTACTAATTTTCAACAAATTCTTTTTTGTTTACATCTCGTATTCTTAAGGGGGTTAGATGGTAGAATAGATATATACTAAGTGACATATAAATCCGAACACCCAGTTTAAATGGTTTTATTTTAATAAAATTTTGTATAAGTACTTAATGAAGCATAATAAGTAAATGATAAAAAATTCAAAATGATTGCACTGCTTTAAAGCCCTTTGACCTTTGATAATGTGTGGATGCACCCTGATGTGCTACGCATTCTCCAACGCGCCTATGCATGCTTCTGATCAGGTGGTCAATGTCCTCCTGTGGTATCTCATTCCAGGCAACCACCAGCTTCTCTCGAAGTGCTTCTAGAGTCTGAGGAGGACGTTGCAAATTGAGCAATCTCCTACCCATCATATCCCACACGTGCTCAATTGGGGATAAGGCGGGAGATCTTGGTGGCCATGGTAACAATGTGACATCATTATGTTGAAAGAAGTCTATTGCGACTCTTGCAACATGTGGTCGGGCATTATCTTGTTGGAAAGTTGGATCTGCCAGGGTGTCAAGATAGGGTAAAAGATGGGGTTCTAGAACTTCGTGGATATAACGCTGCGCGTTCATGTTACCTCTGATGAAGATTAAAGGTGACCTGGAACCATAAGCTATAGCACCCCAAACCATAACTCCAACAGTGTGATGAACATGTCTTTCAACAAAAAACTGTGGATTCCTCCTTTCACCACGTCGCCTTCTAACCCTGGCACGACCATCGCGCATGCCTAAACAAATTCGAGACTCGTCACTAAGGACAATACTGTTCCATTCCTGATCCCAGAGTGACCGTTGTTTGCACCACTCAAAGCGATTACGTCGGTGTTCTCGAGTTAAAGGGAGGACCCAGTATGGCAGGTATGAAAACTAGCCAAAACTTCTCATTCGTCGGTAAACACTTCGCATGCCAATAGGTCTTCCGTGTTCTGCAAATCATTCATTTGCAATGTACCTGGTAGTGGAGAAACGGTCCTTTAAGGCCAATAATCTTAGGCGGCGATCTTCACGGTCTGTTGTTCTACGGCGGCGTCCAGTGCCCCTTGCTCTTTGCGTACGGCCTTCTCG